ATCAAGAGTATCTCCAAAAAATCAGACTTTGGTGGCATAGATAGAACTACAGCTTCATGGAGAGCAGATTCCAATCAATTAATTTAATATGTTGGAGAACTAGTGCTCAGAAAGGCCTAGTGACCTGTCCACAGGACCCAGATGCTGCAATATATCTCATGTTGTGGCAGTCATTTCACAAGGGTAGGGACTTGGGTTTTCTCATTGCTGTATCCCCACTACTTAGAAGGGTACCTGCCTCTTATACTTATTTAAAAAATACTGTCAAATAAATGAATAAATGATAAATGATCTTTGATCCTCAGCTGCAATTATAAATTAGGAAAGGGGTCTGGAGACAGTACTTGACTCCTGACATCTTTCTAATGTTGTTCCTTGGGCCAGTTGAGTAAGTCATCTACACCCAGATTAAGGCTTCCCTACCCCACTATTTTCCTGAAGAAGACCAATCACAGTGGATGGATGTCTGTCCATCTCCAGAAGACTCTATGTTGGACCATATGAAAATGGGAATATTTGAGGGTCATTTGTGCTCTTAGCTACATAGCCCATCAAAAGTGCTCTTTACAGTCTTGGGTGAATATGCTTTGTATAGTAAACTCCTGTGGTTTGCATGCCTTGTGATACTCTGGTGCTCTGGAGCTTGACAACTTGGTGTGGGCCAGGGATAAGTAGACTTCTCAGATGAGTTGAACTTGCAACTCATTGAGGTGATTTGTCCAAGCATAAGGCAGCCCCAGCTCACATCATTTATTTTTTAATGTGTTTTTTGTTTATTTGGTCTTTGTCCTTTCCACACTCTTTTCTTCTTTGTCCTCTCTAAGAACATTAAAAATGGTGAGAAAAGGGAGCCATTCAGGTGCCTCTGAGAGTGCTGTTGTGGCCATCAATTTGCAGGTATCTTGAACAATAAATGTAACATCTGCAGGAGACAGAGGGAGCCTGTGGACCATAGTAGAAGGCTGACAAAGCAGGGCTTGAGAAATAATCCATAAGAAGAAACCACGACTGTTAACATAGTTGTCATAATCTGTATGTAAAGAAGTTGGATTCTGATTGTTTGGAATTGGCTCACCTCTTTACGGATTAAGTATAATGACTCTGAGTCTCCTTCACTCCACCTGCCAGGCTGGGTCTCAAATGGAAGAGAATGAAGAGGGGTCAGGAGAGAGAAAGGGAAGGGCGGTGGGGGAAGTGAGAAAAGCACGGATTGATGAAATGAGTCGTCTTCCCAAAATGAGCTAGTAATATTTTTCTCCTCATGTTAGTCTTTAGTGTGATGACCCAAATTTGACTATACTTTGCATAAATGCTTTAGCTAGAGCTTCACATATATATATATATATTTGCAATATGTAAATTTTGGACATTTTATGTATATATGGACTGAGAGATTTGAGCCAAATTACTTTGTAATGAATGCACAAAGAAACATGTTTTGGGTGCTGTTTCAGGTTCGAATTGATCCTATGTGTTTTATATATTATGATTTCTATAAACCAAGCATTAAACCAGTGAGCACTATTTGAGTGTTGCATTTACTTTCCTGAGACCCATGTATATTTAAATTCTTCTTCCCTGACAGATTAGTTAAGAGCTTGATAAATAAGGTAATAAAATACAATTAGATGTTTATAATTTTACAATGAATAAATAATAGACCACGCTAGTCACACAGTTATTTGTATCTATTTTATTTATGTTTCAGTGCATACCTAGCAAGATAAATTCTTTTCCTAGACCTCTAATTTAATCAGTGTTATGGCTTAGCCTAGTCCAAATTAAATACTGCAATAATGAAATAAGAAACTCTTTTAATAAGGATCATAATGTAAGAGACACATCATAGCAGTCTGTATATTTGTTTTTGCCCCGGATTTATTGAAAATGAACAGTATTTCTTTCATTGTACTGAATATTTATGGAATGAGATTGACTGGTTAATGCTTTAAGTTAGCTTCTAAATCACAATCATATTGTGAGCCTAACCAAAACAGTTATTCAGGTATTTTCTCCCTTAAAAGGTTGGAAATTTCCAGGTGTGGAGGTAGTTGTGTAGGACTATAGAGGCATCTGTGAATATGGCATGGACACTGGTTTTGGCTGGATATTTATTTATTTGATTTCTCATGTAAATAATGTGGAATACCATTTGCTTTCCCTCGCCCATTCTCAGCATGGCTGCAGGTGTAATCCTTAAAGACATGGATGTCTTTTGAGTGGCAAGGCAGCAATTGTTACTTCTGGAAGTTCATCTTTTCTTTTTTTTTATTGAGCTCAGCAGATTGTAGTGTTATGAACACCAAATATTCTCAGCCACGTGGTCTATCTTATCCTAAGCCTTTTTCTGCACCCTACTGGTTTCTCTTTTTTCCCCATCTGTAGAAATAGAACCCCGAAAGCTAAATCCCTATTGTCTGAAAGCCAGGAGTTAGGTCTCTTAGAGATGGGGCCATGAGTGACATTTCCTATTTCAACCTGTGGGGAGGATTGAGGTCAGCTTTGGAAAGAGTTAGAGCTGGATGATAGGTGTATCTCTTTACCCCAAGTTAACTGCCTGTCCAACTAAATAAGTGCACAGGATACTTGATGGAAATTCTAGACTGAACCAATTTGGAGAAACTCTGAGGAAGGGTTTGTTTTTTGATGATCTGGCTGGTATGAATCACGAGCATTTCATCACTTTTTAAATTCATTTTGGTAATTGAAATCTTATAAATGTTCTGTTGAATCATTGTACCCAGGAGAACTTGGGAAGAGATGCTTCCCTTTCAATACGTTGGGATATTTAAATAGCAATAGTGCTCCTTGCTTTAAGAGAATGGAGATGTGAACAGTCTAGATTTTCATTAGCAAATGATGGTTAACTTTACAAAAGAGATTAAGATAGGAATCTTCAAGTATCAAGTGACCATAAGTGAATTGCTTTACACCAATTTTTCTTCTACCCTTGTATTGGAAATACTCTTATCAGTTATTTTCTTACTTCTGAGTACTTTAGGAATTAGCTCTGAGAAAAAATAGAATTCTAGCAGTGAAATTTAGAAATGAGCTTCTCCCACTTTCCTTAGAAATGTTTCCTTTGGTCCAACAGTGTGCATTCTTAAGCCATTTCCATGCTACATAAGAAATCTTATTCCTGCAGTTTTATGAGGCAGATAGTTTTCCAATTTCTGGTGACCAACAACAGAAAGCCAATCAGGTATGGTGGCACAAACAGGAGAATTTAATTCTGGGCATAGTTTTTGCCAATGCTGATAGCTGCTTGTGTGACTGAATTTTTGTACCACCCTGTCCCTGGCTGTAATTTCCCATCCCTTTCTTTCCTCTTGAACTTGAACGATGTCTCAAGTTCTGAGGAGCAGGAGTTCTGCAACCAGAGCTAAGGGTCAGCTTAGTCCTGTACTTCACCAGGGGGCCACAGACTCTATCAGCTTAGCTCCCTTTCTCTAGGTTTGAGGGTCTTTGGGAAGCTTCTCAAGATGAGAGCACAGAGAAAACCCATGGGCTTCCCCCTCCAGACCTCCACAGGAGTTTCCACAACCCACCTTCTGTCATTTATTGGTCCAAAATTATCCTGGAAAATATCCTCAGAGCTCAGCACAGTCTAAGAGAACTGGAATACAGAGTTGGCCCCCGGCGAGTACTTGTGGAGTGCTCCTGGGCGCACGAAGGATTGTCCTTGTGGGGTCCAAACTTTGATCGGTCCTTATGTTGATTGAATAGACAGGAGTTCAACCAAATGAGTCTGATGAGGCCAGATTCCTGAAGATTTGAAAGGGTGGAAATGGGGCCTGCACATGAGGGATGTAGTTTTGCCGGGGATTAGTGGTACCATGTGAGATCTTGTCAATGGAAGGAAGTAGGTGAGTGGAGCTAGCCCTAACTGGTGTCACCTGTCTACACCAGTGGACAGAATCCCTCATGTGAAAGAGGCCACAGTATGCACTCCACAGTGGTTTTGGCAGAGTGAGAGCTCCAGAGAAGGTAGAGCTCTCAGTGTTGAGCAAAGCTGTTGATTCATGGAAGAATAAAAAAGGGGTGTTCTGGGAAGATTCCTGTATAGTTGACAGAACCAGAAAACCTAGAAATATCACACAAGTTTCCTTTCCCTGCCAAATCTTTGTGTTCTATTGCTCACAGCTGGCATCTTGTAAAGGTGGGTGAGGGCTAATGAGAGTCCATCTCTGCAGTCTGGGCCTCTGATGTTCCTTTGATGCTGTGTGCTATAAGCCCATTGTTTAATGTCTCTCCCTTCATTTGATTATTGGCTTGGCTAAGATGATGCTTGGGATGGAGTAAAGAATTAGAACCAGTGACTGATTCCTTTAGATAGACCTGGCTATTTGCTACACATTCCATTCTTTTGTCCTCCTTGGAGGTCCCTTCTTACTATAGGCCCTGTGATGGTCAGGGCTTAGATTTTGCTACTCCCTTAGCTGTGGGCAAAGATACTCTAGATAACAGTACAATGCCACTGCCACATAACCCCTGAACATTGTCCCCGGAAACCTCTCTGGCACCTGCCCTGCCCCATATTCGAAGGAAGTGTGAAGAGGAAGCCTCTGCTCCAGCAGCTCTTATGTGTTGTTCCTGCCACAACTGAAGCTGGAACCTGGGAGATAATGCTGGTGTCTCTCAAGGTGCTCCCTGGTGCTGTGTACGCTACAACTTCCCTTTCAGCTTTCTCTGATAACCTCTTTGTGCTCTCACCAGCTGGTTACACCTAAGGGGGAATGAGGCTCTCGAGGCAAGGGGAATTGGCTGGAACCCGTCCCTAGTAAGATGGTTAATGCTCATTTCTCTCTTTGGACCTCCATCTGATATAACTGGGCTGCTGGTGGTAAGAAGCGTGGGTAGAGCCTCATTCAGATCCCCAGTTTGTTTCTCAGGCTGTGCTACCCCCACCTCTTTCCACACTGGGCATCAATGTATTTTTGGTTAGTGGTGTGGGGAAGACATTCTCTAGCCCTAATGCTGCTGCTTCTGGTTTCCTCCAGGTCACCCGACCTGCCTGCAGTTCACTCTGAACATGACCGAGGCTGTCAAGACCTACAAGTGGCAGTGCATAGAATGCAAATCCTGCATTCTCTGTGGGACCTCGGAGAATGATGTGAGTTTGGGGCTTTCTTTGTGGGAGGGAGAAATCCAAGGAGCTGGGAGTCCTCAAGGAGTGTGGAGGAAGGCAGATTTTTGGTATTGAGCTCCAGGGGGAAAGTCAGTTAGTCTTGTTCTTTGCCTCTACAACTCTTGGGACCTTTGCATCATAGAATACGTGGGTGCTCTTTGTTCCTGTGGAAACAGATGTAGACGGTGACTGGCAGGGGGTAACTTCATGGCCATTTGTGTTCTACTGTGGTACTTGGAAGCAACCTTGCCATTAGCTCCAGAGAGCTGGATGACCTGAGCTTATGGTAGGGATGTGCTTGGTTGTTTCTGTCATATTTCACAGTGCATAATCTCATTTTGACCTGCTTTTTAAATATGATAAATGTAAAAGTTTTAAAAAACATCTGTTTTACAGACAATTTCAAACATATCACAAAAGTAAGACAATAATGAAGCTGGTATATCCTCTATCCAGATTCAGGCATGGTCAATATACATCCAATCTTATTTTAAAAAAATAGTACTACCTTCATCTTAATACTAGTCATAATGTCATTTCACCTATAAATATTTCATATGTATCTAAAAAGACACAGACTTACTTTAACCAAAGCAACCAAAATATTAACATAGCTAGAGAAGTCAATAATTCCTTAATCAAGCATCCAGTAAATATTTATTTCTTCAATTGTCTTATAACTGTGTTTTTTATTTGAACTGAGATCCAAATAAAACCCATGCATTGCAGTTAGTTGATAAGGCTTCGAAATTTCTTTAAATCTTTAGCTACAGCTATACGTGTTTTATAAATAATATATAGATTTCCTCCCATCTTGCTTTCTTTTCCCCCCTTAAATCCTTCGTTGAAGAAATCAGATCATTAGTTCAATAGAGTTTCCATGACTATATTTTACTGAATGCATCCTTCTGGAATTGTCTGACATTTCTCTCTGTCTCATGTATTTCTTGTAAATTTGTAGTTAGAGCTGGAGGCTTGATTCAGGTATCTCTGTTTCTCTTTTTCCTCATGATCTCTCTCTGTCTATCTCTCTGTCTCATTCTTTTCTGGCAAGACTCCTTTATAGTTGATGGGTAATGCTTTTATTAGGAGGGATGTAATATCTGCTCTCTCTCTCTCTCTCTCTTTGTGAAAATACATCCATTGATGACCTTCAATTAGAATGTATTTCATTAGGGAAGCAAAATAGAGATATTCTTATTTGATAATTTCCTCTCTGTTTATTAGTTGGGATAATTCCATAAAGAGAAACTTTCCCAAGCTTGTGTTTAGCATAGATCACATAGAAAAAGCATGAAATATGCTTGTTTCTTTTCCTCTGTTGGTTTTCAAAATAATATGGTAGTTAAAATACCTATTCATGAGAAAAACATCCAATGAAATCAAGATTTTTTGCTACACATTCTTAACATGAGAAAATATTTATGCCTTAGAACTAAAGTCAATATCTTATCTAATGGGGAAAATGCTAGAAGCATCTCCACTAAGATTAGGAACCAGTGAGGCATCTCATTATTATCACCATTTACCAAAGATATAGCTAGCACTATTAGATAGGAAGAAATCAATTAAAGACCTGATAATGGATCACAAAATATAAGTATCACTAATCCAAAAATCAAAAGCCCAAATATTCCAAAATTGGAAAGATTTTGAGTAACAATATGATGCCATAAATAGAAAATATATCACAAAACTTAGTTTCAGGCATAAAATCATCAAAAATATTGTATAAAATTCCCTTCAGGCTATATGTATAAGGTATATAGAAAACATGAATGAATTTTGTCTTTAGATGTGGGTCCTATCTCCAGATATCTCAATATCTGAATATTACAAAATCTGAAAAAGCCCCAAATCCAAAGTTTTCCAAAATCTGAAACATTTCTGATCCCAAACATTTCAAATAAGAGATACTCAGTGTGTAGTAAAACTTTCTTTATTTTTATATGATATAACAGTACGAGAAAAGTTGGGAAACTCAATACTACTACTACTACTACTACAGCTTAACTCATATATAAAACATTAACAGGATATAAGTTAACATACCTAACAGTAACCTTCATATCTATCTATCTACCTATCTACCTATCTATCTATAGATGGATAGATAGATATATACACACACACAAATGTACAAAACCTATATAAAGAAAAATTTTAAGGACTTTTGAAAAGTTATAAGAACATCCTGTGACCTTAGACACATTGACTTAATATTATAGAGATGTCCGCTCTTCCTAAGTTAATTTGCAAATTTGCTTCAGGACCAACAAAAACATCAACATGATTTTTTTTTTTTTTGGTACCGGGGATTGAACTCCGGTTCTTGCGCTTGCAAGGCAGGCCACCGAGCCGCTGAGCTAAATCCCCGGCCCTCAACATGATTTTTTATAGAAGTAGGCAAATTGATATTTAAATTCATACAGGAAAACAAATATGCAAGAATAGCTAAAAAATACTGATAAGCAAACTGGGATGGAAACAGGCACTTCCAAACATCTAACCCTCCTAGACACATCTTTCTATGAAGCAGTGTAGTACTGATGCCTAAGGAGACAAATAAACCAGTTATAGAATAGAATAGAAAGCCCATAAGTATACCCACCCACATATGAAAAAGTACTATAGGAAAAAAGTTGCATCTAAAATTACTGTGTCAAAGAGACATTTTAATGAATAATACTGGGACAATGGAATAGCCATTTGGGAAAACACAAAATTAGATTCATATCTCACACTAGACATAAGAGCAATCTCCAAATAGATCAGGGATCTAAATGGAAAAAGAAAAACTATGCCAATGCTAGAATAAAGCATGAGTGAATTCCTCTTTAATGTAAAGTATAGGGAAAGGTTTTCTAACTGTGACTCAGAATCCAGAAGCAATGAAATAAAATATCGATAAATTGGATTCCATAAAATTTGCATAGTCAAGAATGTGCTAAAGCCAAAAGACAACTGACAAACTTGGAGAAAGTACTTGCAGCACGTACCATAGATTTAGGGAAAACATCCCTAGAATTATAAAGAATTGTTTAAAAATGAGTGGCAGAGGATCAGAAATTTCCTGTTGGGAAATGAGAAAAACACACAAAGAAAATTCACAAAAGATACAAAAATGACCCTTAAACATGTAAAATAAATGTTCAAGGGTACTCATAAGTAAAGAAACTAAAAAACCAAGATATTTTTCTTATGTATTTAATGGGCAAAATTTACAAAAAAACATGATAGTACCTCTTGTTGATTAAACTATGGGAAAACTGGCACTTTTATATATTACTGGAGGAAATAAAAGTAGTACTGGAGAAAAATTTAGAAATACTTAACAAAATTATTATGCACCCATCTATAGGACGTTTTCCAGAAGCTACATCTCCAACACTGTGGAAACACGCATGCATAAGGTTGTTTATGGTGGCACTATACATAATTACAAAATATTGGAAGCAACCTCAGTCCCTTTGTAGAAGAATGGTTAAGCAGAAAATGACATGGCCATATGTTCAAGTACTATGGATCTGAAAAAAAACAATAAAAATGTGTATGAATAGATATAGAATACTTCCCAGGACATAGAATTAAGTGGGAAAAATCAATGTAAATGTAATATCCATCTGTAGTGTGCTGCCTTTATGGTAAGAAAAAGGGGGATGTAAGAAAATAGGTCTACATCTGTGAAAGAAATATAGAAAGAATAAACAAGGAGCCAATGAGGATGGTTATACACAGAGGTGAATGGGAATGGAATAGAGAAAGAATGATGAAGTAAGAATGAAGTAGTAGAATTGAGCGAGGACTGATAGTTCTCTGAGAATATCTTTTTGTATAGGTCTGACTTAGAATCATGATAAGATTTCACACCCCTCACAAATAAACAATTAAAAACAATCAGAATGGGAGAAAACCTGAAATGGAACACAAATACTAGCAAATAAACCTGATTATAATATAAGTAGATAACACAACCTTAATGAAGAGTGGGAAGAAAATAATGAACCTAAGCAATTTTTGGAAATAGTCTTTAGATTGTATTATAAGGCTGAAGACAAAAATAACTCCATCACATTGTGTGGAGCTAGTAAACTTGTTTTCATGGGCATATGAATTAGTAATTCTGAAACTACTTTATATATGTGCTAGATTTGAACTAATAACTATATATTGTGACTAATGAGAGTCCAATTTCTCAATGTCAGAAAAAGAATGACCAAATAAAGGGGAAGGCGGGACTGAGCCTTGTGGTATTGAGGGGGTCATTTATAAACTCATGGCTTTTCACATATTAAATATTTCTAGCTAATTGTAGGGAAAGATGGGACCCTTAGGTAGGGTTAGAGTAAGGTACATGGGCACATTTAGAAGGGATAAAAGTAGCCTCTGTGACTAAGAGTAGGTAGTTTTGTGGTTCTACTTCTGGAGCAATAAGCCCACTACCCAATAGGTAACCTTGGACTGGCTACACATACATTTATTTCCCAGATCTGCTGGTAAAGAGGGCTGTATAGTCAGTTTCATGCTACTATAACAAAATACCAGAAGCAATTGTTACTCAGAGAAAAGATTAATTTAGCTTCTGATTATGGAGGTTCCAGTCCAAGATTGGTGGTCCCCATTGCTTTGGTTCTCTGGTGAGGCTGCTGGATGGCAATAGTAGGGAACTCACAACCAGATATTTAGTTGTTTTAAATGCCATCCTCTAGTAAAAATAATCAGGGATCTTTGAAGAAATAGCTGGTGCTAGGGCTGGGGTGTGAGATATACAGGAAGAGCCTGGAGCACCTCGTGGTGCCAGCAGGTAAGTTAGTGCTCAAAAAATGATTAAGGCATATCTAAAGGACACAGGAGCCAACCTGAAGGAACTCTTATAGCCAAATCTAGGCAAGTTTGAGAAACAAAATAAAGATGTTATTGAAGTATAACCTAAAGAGTAAAATAAATATCTATACTTATATAAAATATTGAAAAAATAAATAAACAGGGAGAAAGTAAGCTTCAAGCAGAGTTCCAAAGAATAAATGTAGGAGGAAGAGATAAATCATTATTAAGCAAACATCACAGCTATGGTTGGTGTAAGCAAGAAGCATTAATTGAAAGAAAAATTAGTGGGCAAACATATGATGAGAAACAGGATATTTGCACAATTTCACAATATCTCCTCAATAAGGTTTACTTATTAATATACTACAAATGCAAAAATATGAATTCTATAGTGGGGAATGTGCCAATCATTACTTTAGCTATATAATCGCACTTAACTTTATGAGTAATAGGGGCTGGGGATTTAGCTCTGTGGTGCCGCCACCTGCCTTGCAAGCACAAGGACCAAAGTTCAATCCCTGGTACCAAACCAAACCAAACAAAACATTATAAGTAATAAGATGTACCAGCATTGATGCCCCCCCGATATGATTCACTAAGGAGGGCGTAACATAACTTCAGCCGTATTCTTGGAAAATACATGCATACCTCAGTCTTATGAGAAAAAATTGAGCCCAAATGAATGACATTGACCAAATCATTGACCCATAACTTTAAAAAGTGTCCATGATAGACAAAGGAACTGAAGGACTCCACTGATTGAAGGACAATGAGACAACACAGTGAATGCAATGTGGGATCCTGGGAAAGAGACATAGGTGAGAAAACTGGTGAAATTAGAATAATGTCTGTAGACTAGTTAATAGTAACATACCAGTGATGACTTCCTGTTTCATGATTATACTATGGTAATAAATATGGTAAAATGAAGGGAAGCTGAGTAAAATGTGTATGGAAACCCTATACTATTTTTGTAACCAAAATCCAAATATTATATTTCCTATGCTGTCCTGAAAATATGCAATTAACTTCAAATGAGTCTGCTCCAGATTTCACTATTCCTCAAGAAGACTGCTTTTAAATATTCTACAATAATAGTATCTTTCTGGAAAACTTCGACTCATTATCATATACTTTTATAAAGGTTTCTCGGTAGGATACACATTTGTCTATAATTACTAAAATAAGAATAAGCCTAGTACTTTGTATTTACTTTTTTTCAAGGTCTGATATTATTTCAGAACAAAATTTTAAAGTAATTATTTCAAAATAATTTTATTTAAAAAATAATGTGATGATTCTCTAACATCTACCAAAGGTGACTATGTTTTTAGAAATACTATCTTTATGAACTCAAAAATTTAAATACATTTTATTTGTTGAGATTTATTTATCCTGGAACTTAAGTCTGTTTGACATGATCTGTACACTTCATATACCAGACCTGGATTGAACTATTTCTCCAAAGACTACTGGCCCTTTCAGTGGAAAATGATCTATAGAGAACATAATATGGATATAAGAGGTGCTCATTTTTACTGTGTTTGTCATTATTTTGGAGGATTTTCAATGGACAAAGCTAGAAAGAAAATTTGAATTTATACTAATACTTCCGGTTCATATCCAGAACTAACTATAAAGTTCTTACTTAACCACATTGATCTTAAACTTGTATTTTTCTTCAACCATGTCAAAAATCTTGCCTTTCAATGATATCAATATAATTACTCATTTGATATATATACAACAGTATCAGAATATCAATTCTCATATTATCACCTACAATCTGATGCTAAAACATACATGTATATTTACACTCATTTTTGTCCTTAAGATATATTCTAGGAATATATACTATTTTGTTTGAAGGAAGGATAGTCAAATTACTTGTTTTAAAATCACTTGAAATAGTTTCTGTCTGTGTGGTTATGCCACCAGCTGGATACACAATTATATTCATTTATGTTATTTTTGTTTGTTACTGGGGACATAGTATAATTTTAATTTTGTTGCATGACTATGTAAAATTTTACTGATTCTAGAATCAAATCTTTAAAAAAATAATATACTCAAGAAAATCTGGCCCCTTCCTTACTTGTTCTATATTACTGCTTCACCCTGCTTATGTGTGACCATTTGTTATGGGTTATCTTTCCATTGTGTTTAAATATAAGTATACATGTGTACATATGAATGCATAAAAATTGCTAAGTGCAGTACATGTTTTCTCTATCCTGCTTTTTTCACTGAATATCCTAGGGATTATTACAAAGTAATGAATAGGCACCTTCTTGGTTCTTACGAACAGCTGCATGTCTCTTCATTAGTTTACTCAACTAGATAGTTCTTGTTGATTTGGGTTGATTCTGGCCTTTGACTTTATAAGTAGTGTTGTTGCAGAGTTTTAATGTTGACTTGGTAGAGCCATAGGGGAGGAATTCAAGGGGTGAATCTAGAGTCAGGGTGTTGTTTAGGCATTAGTGTCCCTCTCACATGGTCAGAAATTTTCCTGATGTATCTCAGAATGCAATTCCCATTCTACTGGAACTGTAGCCAGACATGGATCCTGAGTTTTGCATACATAGGAGTAAGAGTTCCCTAAATTATGTTTTTCATGAGAGTTAGCATAAGCTGTGAGATCTTGATGGTTCTGACCGGTGATTATTCAGACAAGCAGATGGAAAAGAAAAGAAAATGGTACTAGATCATGATCAACTTGTGAGAAATGAATGCAAACTCTCAGATGACTGACTTTCCTTTGGAAAAGTCTAATCCAGGGTATCCTACCGTCTTATGGTTCTCATGTTGGCACTATACTCATGTTAGGGGTTTTTAATGTCTTTAGGACATTAGTAATACTGTTTCTGTCAAGCCTTTCTCTGTTCTCTGGCTCCATCTTAGCTTGTTTTTCTTTGCATTATTCCTAAATCATATCATCATGTGGCTTACTTCAGCTTTGATGTAATCATGCAACTTTCTGGGAGTAAATCACAATACTCTGTTTTTCATCCTACTGCTACTGGACTGAACTTCTCAGTTTCTTAGTCCTCTACCTGTCTCTTAAAGTTTGTGTCCCTCAAATATCTGTTCTTGCCCTTCTTCTCAGTAACCTCATTTGGGTCCATGATCTTTCAGAGAATTCAGTCAAAGCTCTGGATTTGCTCTTAGAAAAATGTATATTCCTATCTATATATAAAGTTGTGCATATTATTTCTAGAAGGTCATGAACGCCCCTCTATGAGCACAAATTCAGAGATTCTTGCTCTCACAACACCTGGGCTACCTTTCCTAGGACCTTCATTTATCATCTGCTCACCAATGACTTTCAAACCTATCTCTTAGGCCCAGACCTTTCTCTGATCTCTGGTCATTCCTTCCAGGTGACCTGTCCATGTGTGGGACATGTCTACAGCTGAGGTTGTCCTCTTCTTCCTGTGGGTTCATTCCTCTGTGAATGTCTCAGTGGGTGACTGTCATTTGACTTGCTGACTAATCCACAGCCTGTAAAGACATCCTTGATTTCTTCTCTATCATTCTCTACATCTAATCAATGAATCTGAAACAGGAACAAGATCCATCTCTTTCACCCTTTTCACAACCGTATTTTAGGCCACCATTCTCATCTGGGAGGTTTTAACAGCCTGCTAACTGATCTCCTAGCCTGCAGAATCAACCTCTGTCCTGCCTTCATCTAGGCTCCAGCCTCCAGGCTGTGAGGAGTCTTCTGGAAGTCAAAGGATGGAATTTTTTTTTCTATATTCGTATTGTGAAGTCCTGAAGAGGGTCTGATGAGTCAAGGACATCACCACCAAGTAGAGCTGTGCATTTCATAGACAGGGAGACCAGGCACTTCAATTAAACATTTGAAATATTTAAAGTATTTCCCATATATTAGGGAATTACTATGGGGAACAGAGAAATACATAAACTTAATTTTCTGACTTTTGGAAGCAAAGTTATTGGCTACAGGAGTTTGGAAGAGGAATGAATCTTCTTAAGCTTGGCTGTGAAGTGGTAGTCAGGGAAATCTTCTTGGAGGAGGTGAGAGGTAAGCAGAGCCCTAAGCTGAGGGTAGGATTTATTAGGCTGGAAAACAGAAGGGGAAATTCCAGGTAAAGGCAAGCACAAGCCAAGCTCAAGGGCTAATGAGGACCCCAAACAGGACCTGGAATGGGGCATCTGCGTAGTTGAGCTGTGGAAATAAGCCTGGAGGAATAAGCGGGGGCCAGATATTGGCCTTGAATAATCAAATCTCTCCTACATTCTGTGCATGCTCTGTATTCCACCAGGACCAGCTACTCTTCTGTGATGACTGTGACCGTGGCTATCACATGTACTGTTTAAATCCCCCAGTGGCCGAGCCCCCAGAAGGTAATGATGGTGAGGTCAACAATAACAACATCAGCCTCTGCTCCTACCACTTACTGAGCCCTCACTATGGTGCAGGCCTTGTACTAAGGGCTTTTCATGTTTTGTCTCATTTAATCATCACAACCCGATGAGGTAGGTACAATCACTATCATATTACACATGAGGAAACTGAGGCATGGTTCAACCAGCGGAAATCTCAACCTGAAGGCCAAGGAAATATTCCTTAGACATGTGGCTGAGATGTGGGGAGGGGTGAGATTCTGGGGGAATGAGGAATGGCCAAGCAGTGAGGGTTTTTATTTACTTTCTGATGAACAAGACTCCAGTATGTCTTAAGGACTAAGACTTGGTCTTTGAATTGTGAAAGTCAAAGGAAAACAGGGTTGACAAGAAGTTAGGGCCACTGAGCTGGGACTTGAGTGTTAGAAGAGAGGCTACTATTAACACCGTCTTGTTTCTTATAGGAAGCTGGAGCTGCCACTTATGCTGGGAGCTGCTCAAAGAGAAAGCCTCAGCCTTTGGCTGCCAGGCCTAGAGCCTCAAGTCACGGAAAGTGACTTGATATTGGAGAGGCTGAGCCAGAGCCCAGATCAAACCAGATGAAGCCCTCCTCCCACATATCCAGACAGACCAACTATATGGAAAATGAATACTCAGAAGGGTGTGGACACGTGGAACCAAGGGGGTGAGGTATCTTCTTACCTCTTGCCCCACAGATGGTACTTCAGCCAGCACCTCCTTGTTTCTACCAGAAGACTTGCACTTTTGAAGAACAACACCAGCCCCAACCCCAGCCCTGTGGAACTCCTCTCACTTTTACCTTAGTATTACAACTTTCTCACTGGTTTCCATTTTAAGGGAAGCCATTTTATGACCACTCATCCATCACTTGTGTGCAGTTTGGTATTTTTTTTAACCTATTGTGTTCTAAGACATCTTTGCACAGCTTCTTCACCCCCAGTCTAGGCTCTTCATCCTAGATTTTTCACCAGAGGAACAAAGTGCCATGGAGAAGTTGTTGCTTATTTCAAGCCACTGGAAAATTCTGGACTTGGATCCCGGAGGCCATCTTGAGGATGGAGACTTGAAAACCCTTCTTGTTTCTTGATCTTTGCAAAGAGGAAGAACCTTAACAGTGGCTTCTACAGCTGGGGTGGTCTTGATTGACTGCATTTTCACTTGATAGGGAGTGGGGAGGTACTGGGAGATGGGAAGAAACACTGATAAATAATGTTAAGGCCTGCTATAGCCAGGCAGTGTTTATTATTCATGAGGAGAGACTTGGCAAGGGACTGGGCTTGTTCTTTACCCTTCAGAGCTGAGGAATCCTTGAAGTGAAACAAACCACAGCCTATGGACAAAGGAAAATGTTCAAGACTGTATCTCTGACTGAGCTGATTGTACAGGCCTGGTTCAGGTTCTCATGGTGGGAATCAGGCACCAATCAGGTGAGCAAAGGCTCCCACTCACATGTCCAAGTGATGGATACAGGGATCTCAGCTTTGAGAAACTCTTCAGTATTGATGTGACACTACGAATTCCTTTTCCTAAGTAATTTTCTTCCTCCACATGATGTAAGTTTGCTATTGTCTACAGAGATCTGACTGGAAATTTTAGGATGGAGGATGGATGATTGTTACTTAAATGGATGGTTAGGGTAAAGTGATTATTTGTGATAAGGTGGCAATGATTTTGAACCCTCAGCTTGTAGGCTGTTCTTATCTCCTAAACTCCTCATATGAGCTGGACTCTTTCCTTTTCTTTGTTTCTGTTTTAATCTTTCCAGAAGAAGGAGGTGGGGAGGTATAGATTCTGAGAACTCTGTTTTGGAGGACAGCTCTGCAGGCTGGAGTGGCTTGGACTGTCTTTGAATCACAGCGACTGACACATTTCTGGAAAACTCATTTGCCCAAAGAGCAGGTCTCTGTGAGTGGGACCCATGTGCATGCTCAGCTTTCCTGAAATCAGTTCCATCTCTGTGGTCCAGCAGTGTACAACAAAGACCCGGGCTATTTTTAGTCATTTGGCTCCTGAAAAAGCCCCTGGAGACGCGAGCTAGTTGGGCCACTTTTGCCTGGCTGCAGTGTTGCTCTGTGAGTCGGTAGGAGCCATCCAATTGCTCTTGGCCAGTGGACCCAGGACAGCCCGGCACTGAGCCAAGCCACGTAGTTTTCCCCCTCTCCTCTGCAAAATGACTGGTGGCAAAAGAATGGGGGCCACTTGCCTGCAGGCCCCTTGGCCTCAGAGTGAGTTACACTCACATGTAATGATTCGTTTTAAAGGGCCCCTGTCCAGATGGAATTTTCACCTTCCTCATAAGCTATTTTCTTCCTGATAGTTGGTGAGCTGGTCTGGATTCTGAAGGCCCAGAGCAGGGCTGGGAGGGTCATTTTGGAGGGGGATATTTTATTTCCTGACTGTCATGTCTCACTGTCCTTCTACAAAACCCAAAGCAATGTCTCCTCAAAGGCTGATTATTGGTTTGGAGAGTCATTTAAAATTGATTACAAGAAAAGAATTCCTAAATATTTCCGAATGCCATAGTGGCCTAAAAAGTTGAAAAGACAGATCTGAAATCAAGAATGTGGCTTTACAACTTGACAGGTCCCCTTTTGGAGAATGTGCAAACCCATTCCCCATGGAAAGGAAGATGATTGGTGTCTGCTCTCCCCACAGCCATGTGTGTCCAGCTGATGGAGCTGAGGGTGGACCGAGTCTCCTGAGCCAAGGCAGGGCACTGGAGCCTGCCTTCCATCGCACAGCTGGTCTGGGCTCTGGGATCACACAGGGTTCTGTTCTCCATTTCATTGCTCCCTGCAGAATGGGAAATAACGACCTTCTTGGTGGGCCTCAGTGTCCCCATCCAGAAAATGGGGATAGCAGAGCAGCTTGTGGAATGGCATTGCTGGGGTTGTGCAAGCAGACTAAAGTGTCCACAGCCACATGTATCACCTTCTGCACTGGTAAAAGGCAGCTGTGGGTAAACTTCAGATTGGTTTGTTTCTTTGAACCCCCAAGAAAGAGATGGAATCCTAAGGTACACATGAAAGATCAGGGTTTCCGTGCTGCCCTTGCCACTGAATAACTGTGTGATCATGGGCAAGTCATTTAACACCCCTAAATTCACTTTGCTCCCCTGTAAAATGGAGATGGTAACACTTGCCCTGTCTCTTCCTGAGGGGAGTCTTAAAAATATTACATGAGCAACCACTGCAGAGCACAGCCGATCTGGGCAGAACTCCAAATGCTTTTTCATGTCTGCCTTCTCGTGTGACCGCCAAATTAGATGCCTTCTTGGGATCTCCCTTAGACTCAAGGGGATTTATATTTCAAGAGGCCAGGCTGCCTGTAGTTATGGCCACTAGGCTAGGGCTGCGACCAAGGAGACTGAATTTGCCCAGTCATCTTGGGAGGTGGGATTTACCATGTGGCTGAGTGCTTCAGGGTGAAGATACTCCAACTACTCCCTTCTACAAGATTCCAGTGTGGAATGGAAGGCTCCCTTCTATAGAGGGCAGAATCCATTTCCCCTCAGGGGTCACACTCACTCTTATCTTGCTTTAAAGCCTTGCTCTGCCTCGTTCTAACTGGTTGAACTTGGGAAAGTGACTTCCTCTCTCTGAGCCTCCTGGCCCACATGCTCTGTTGCAACCAGGTGACTGCAGGGATTAGAATAATGGTGGCGTTGGCCTGGTGTGATGCTGGCCCCATTCCCTAGTAGCTATTGTCATTTTACAAAGAGGTCAGTAAATGATGCTGTTGCCTCCAGCTCAAATCTCTGGAATAGCCAGGGGCCTCTGCTCCAGTTCATTCCCTTGCTGGAGCTCCAGGCAGTCCAGAAAGGGGAGGCTGCAGGAACTGCTGGAAGATGAAATCTTGCTTCCTTCTTGACATTTTTGAAACACTAAATTCTGGGCCTGCAGTAAATCCAGGGAAGGCTGCTTTGTGAGGAAAGAGAAGCAAGGTCCCTGTACAGAGATTTATCTTCCAGTCCTCCTTCTCCACCAGGCCCTGACTCTCAGCCCCGGAGGCAAGAGCCAGTGGGCCCCAAGGCTCTGCTGTTCTGTTGCTGCCAGGGAAGGTTGCAGAGCTGGGCTGCAGAGAGCAGCTGCGTCCTGTGGCTCAGGCTCAGACCCCCACGGGTAGGTGGGAGGGAGGCCAGGTTCCTTCAGAGCTGGGAAAGATAACTGGTTTTGATAGCAGGGGAGGGCCTGCATTTCACAGTGCAGGTCTTGTGACACCCTGGGGAGTTTCACTTCTGGTGCATTTCTTATCTACATGCTTTGAATTCAGCATGATTTCTTCCAGCCCTCCCCTTAAAAAGTCCAGATATTTTAAGGAAGAAAAATGACATGATTGTTATTACTTTTCCTTTGGGGCCAAGTTTAGGAGACCTGTGCTCTTTTGTGTTGTTGAAGAAAGATTACTGGCTACCTCAGGCTCCAGACTCAGATAAAAGGGGCTGCCAGTCTCCTCTTGGAGTCCACGTGTGCTTGGCTGGTGGCCCAGGCAGGTCCTGAGGACCACCTTGCTTGCGCCTCCCCCCAAAGCTGGTTCCAGTTTGTTTCGGAAGTGCTGAGATGAGGGTGCTTCCCTTTCCTCTCTCCCTCCCGATGCCCAACCTTGGCCCCGCCTTAGAGAATCACAGTGTCTCAGCTCAAGGGTGAAGTTGGCTCCCCGTGGCCAGAACCACATTCTCTCTCTCCCTGAAGAGACCCTGAGTCCCAGGCCTAGCTCTTCTCAGGGGTAGGACATCGGTGTCACCTTTAGTCCTTTAGTAGGCTGGCATGCCTTGGTGTGCAGCGAGGAAGGCGACCTGGGAAGAAAGGTCAGTCCTGTCCCCTGTGTCTGGCTGAGTGACGTGACTCCCCCCACATCCCACTGTGTTACTCTTTTTGGAATCTTACTCCCACCCACAAAGGATGCCTTTGGTTTTCAGATGCCCAGTTACATTAGTGTACCAGGCGAGGAATGGGCAGGATGGTAGGAGGCACAGACACTTTAATTCACCTCAGTTTAAAAACATCCTCATTTAACCCTAACTGTTCTTGGGTCTTTCCATCTGTCCTCCGAAGGTGGGCTCTGTACGTGTCTGATTTGGGGCTCCCTCCCTCTTTCTGAGCATTCCTAGGCTTTCAGTATGTTTATGATTCTCTGCTGTGAGTGTAGAAACAGCAGTCTGGATGGAGAGGTTCAGGGCCTTTGGGGCAGCTCGATGGGGAGACTCAGAGAACTGGGAATCCTTTTCTGAGGAGGCTGGAGATCCTCAGGTCTTTATGAGCAGAAGGAGGGGAGAGAGGGAGGCAAGTGCCAGTGGTTCGTCACCTGGACAGGGCAGGGTGAACAGAGTCCCCAGGTGAGCAGCTCAGCAGCTGTTCGCAGGAGGGTTTGGCTGCGGGGCTCCCTGGCCATCCTTCTAGCCAGGCCGTGAAGAAAGACTCAGAGGCATTGCCTTCAGGAAGCCTTGGCAGCAGTGGTGCTGGGGTCCCTGCCTGCCAGTTCCACACCAGGTGAGTTTCCCAGAAGGAGCAGGGAAGTCCCTATGTGAGGAAAAAGGTTGAGAAGCAGGCAAAGTCCCAGTGAGAGCCCTTCTGGGTTCTGAGCTAACCCTGTCTGTGACCCTTCAGCTGAATAAACTGAGGTGATCCCCGGTGCTCCAAGATGTGAGGGCTGTCATAGGGCTAGAGGGCACTGGAATGCCTGTTGGTTTAGTCTCTGTGCCCACTTCCCTCTCTTTCTTTGCTCCAGTGCCTGATGGACATTGTGCGGCCAGAGGCCTTGAAAGAAGGACATTCCATGGTTTCCCCTGCTTTGGCCTCACCGTGAAAAGGCAGTGTTTGTGCTGATGGTGACATTTTCCAGGGCAGACCAGAGGAAGGCAGCACTGGGACTGGCAGGCAGCCAGACCCCTCTTGGACTGAAATTTAATTACTAATAATGCCTTCTAGCCCAGGCAGTGGGCAAGATGGCTGTCCAGGTCAGCACCAGCTCAGCCTGGCAAGTAAGTGCAGCAGTGGGCAGGAAGTGACCCTGGTAGGAAGTGGGGGTGCCAGGAGCCCCTGGGGCCTATGTGTTCCCTCACCAACACAACCCTATAATCCCTGGGTTAAATTTACACTTTCCACATTTCCTCTGCTCAACTCTCTGCATCAGTGTTGGTATCCATGAGAACAGAGGTGTGTACGCCGAGCATGCACACCCCTGCTTGATGACTCAAGGGAACTGTTGGTGTTGCCCCAGGGTGGGAGATCCAGGAACTATCAGAAAGACCTCTCTGTCCACACAGTCTTCAGCAGTCCAGCAGCTCAAGCGCTCAGCCCCTGCACAGCCACAGGATAAAGGGGGCCTTGTGCTTAGAAAGCCATTGGTTCCCCCAACTCTCTCCATCTGACCTCTCACTTCTGCTTCTTCGCGAGAGATACTTAGTAATAGTTGAGGACTTGTAAAAAATGTCACAATTCTGCTGTCAAAGGGATGCAAAGACTAAGGCTAGAATAGGGGTTGGGGTTTTTTTTGTTGACTTCACCCTTTTATGTTTATTGCCCGCTAGACCTTTGTTTTCTTCTTCTCCTGCCTTTTCCTCCCTGCACCTTTCCCTTCCTTCCTTCCTGCCAAGCAGGATGCTGAAGAGCAGGGCGGTGGTGGAACAAAACAGTAGCATAATCCAGGAAGAAGAAAATATACCGTGAGCCTTTTCAACATGTAGTTGAAGAGGTCTAAATTAGGGACTACAAAAAAAAAAAAAAAAAAAAAAAAAAAAAAAA